AATCCACACATCCATAGACAGAAGATGCATAGTTCTCATATTATCAAAAAGAAGGCAAATCTTTCCATTTCATGAAATGTTGGGAGTGTTTACAACTTCAGGAGTGAAACACTCTCCATTAATGAGTTATCTCCAATGGTGAATAATTTTTTCTGTCAACAATGAGAATCTTATGGAGTCAATTCCAGAAACTCAAAATATTGCGCAAACTTCAACTCTACGTCAAGGCCTATTGGAAACAGAAAAGCTAAAACACAAAAAGAAAAAGGTATTGTGCGTGATCTTAGCGAAGAAGCAAAGCTTTTGGCTAGCTCTTTCATTGCTTACAAAGAGAGTTGTGACAACAAATAAGAGTTTAAGCTTATGATGATGGAAACTTCAAAGATTGAGACTCCGACTAGGACATAGTGGATAAGATAGTAATAAAATGTGGTCCTCGAAGAAAGAACTGCACACCATTTAAGCTTTGAAGGGGTCTATCACCCCCAACTGGCATAGGAGGAGTTGACAAGAGTATAACTACTCTCTTAACAACTATTGCTCAATCAACTTCAAACCTAAAAATCCCTCTCATTGTATTAGTTGATATTTGTTGTTGTAAATTTATTGCATTTATTTACTTGTCTTATTTGGGTATGCAAATCAACGGATGTAATCTGCATATATCTTAATATATAAAACTAGGAGGCCCTTTTGGGGTCACTAGCTTCACCAAAAATTTTAGGACAAAAATGCCTCCCAAATAAAAAGGTATAAAAGCAATCCAAAATAATGCACCAAATAATGCAGGGGTATTTTCATCATATAAACAGTACTTTTTAATAATTAATTCTTTTTGTACAGTGTTTTTTTTTTTTTTTTTTACTTTTTTAAATTACTACCTCACAATAGGCTAACAATAATGTAATTCAATCAGTTGTTTATTAACTATTATTTTCTCTATTTTTAAACGCGTTCAAAATATCTTAAGAGGCATACAGTGCCGGTTATAAAAGAGGTATTTCGCATGCGTATAATAATATATTTAAAACGTCTAAGTCGCGTGTAGCACACTGTGATTCAAAAAATGCCTTCTGCATGTGCTCACCGGTTATAAGAAAGGTCTTTTGCACGTGCATCATAATACATTTAAAATGTGTAAGTCGCACGTAGCACTCTATGATTCAAAAAATACCTTCTGCATGCGCTCACCGGTTATGAAAAAGGTCTTTTGCACGCGCATAATAATACATTTAAAATGTGTATGTCGCGCATAGTATGCCGTGATTCAAAAAATGTTACGTCCCGATCCCGACATACGTCCAGGATCAACACGTGACGTCACCAAGTATTTGTAAATCCAACAGACCTTGCCTTCGGGATATGTACAAAGCATAATTTAAGATTCAAGTTGCGTAGTAATTTTCGTATACTTTATGGTTGCACCTAACGTCCTCGTTAGACTGCCTACATACCCTAAACGGAGATTAAGCCATTCGTAGTTCGTCAATTGTCGAACTCTAATCTTTTTGTAAAATACTTCTAGCAGAAAACATAGAGTACCACATTACACATCAACCATAAGCCAAACAACAATTATCATCTTGTCATGCACGCATGTATGCCATTCCCACACATATGCTTTCCAATTCATCCATCATATAAAGAACTATGTTTCACATAATATTGCACTTTATGGTATGCAACATCTCACAGAACAGTTAACGAAGCACAATGTCTACTGTGAACAATTCACATTCACTCAAATCTAGGAGCCAGACTAACTTTATGGAAGTGAGCAAGAGTAGGGATTCTAGATCACTCAACAGAATCCAATTAAACAATGGTCGCCTATTTCAAATGTACCAAGTACATTGTATGGTTCCCCATCACGAACATACAAAGCAGAACTATAGGCATAAACTCGGCGTGTAGGCAATGATCACCCATTGTGGATATACCAAGCATGATCACCCCTGAATACTTATGGTCACCCAACGCAGATATACTAAGCAAGACCGCATCCTAACTCTAGGTAGTGATCACCTAACGTGGATATACCAAGCATGATCACCCCTAGAATGCGTATAGTCCCCTAACGCGGATATACCAAGAAGAATCATATGCATAATATAATAACATAAGCAGTGATCACCCATCGCGGATATACCAAGCATGATCACCCTTAACAGTCCCCCAACGGGGATATACTAAGCAGCACTGTATCCTATAACTTTAGTTAGTGATCACCCAACGGGGATATACCAAGCAGCACTGTATCCTATAGCTCTAGTTAGTGATCACCCAACGTGGATATACCAAGCATGATCACTTCTAGAATACATACGGTCCCCCAATGCAGATATACCAAGCAGAACCATAAGAATAGTCTAATCGTACAGGCGGTGATCACCCAACGTAAATATAGCAAGCATGATCACCCCTGAAATATGTATGGTCCCCCAATGCAGATATACCAAGCATGACCATCCATGTACCACTGCTACATGGTGCAGTAAATCCAACACACAACCTACCCATACCTTTAACCCCTATGAGTTACAATGTAGTCACCTACACCATCAACTTCTCATGGCCACTAACTAATATGTCACACAAGCATATAAGTTCTACAGAATACTTCTAATATGATTCTAGGATCACATTGTTATAACATTCATCATACTTATCATTCACATTATTAAGAAGATAAATAAACACATATATATCACAATATGACGTCCTATACACGTAAACCGATGTATATATAATATGAGATAACTCACTAACCAATACAGGCCCACTAATCCCTACATAGTCTCTAGTAATACAAATTTTAATATTTAAGATCATTTCGTAGCCTATTAACCAAAAGTCAAGTCTCTGTCAAAAGTGGGCCCATAACCCTATACAAGTCAATCTGGACCATCCGCCTATGGCTTTCTGATCTGTAACTTCCCAAGGGTCTCATTTATCTTCTAGAACAATATTCTAAAATTTTGGAACGATCCAATGGTCGGATCATGCCAATTGCTAGAATTAAGTTGCTATCATTCCCGCCTGTTAGGCTGTGGGTCACGGGTGACCCGATTCAGCTGGGTTTTTGGTTGGATCCCCTCTATTTCCTCCCCTCTCCTTTCTCTACTTCTCTCCTCTTTTCATTGGTCCTTCCTCCTCCTCATTTTCTCTCTCGCAACTCTCATCCTCCCCCTCCTTACTGCCATTTGGCAGTTTCTAATTTTTTTTTTCTTTTCTTATTGGTCCCTTCCCAAATTAATAGGAACCCCTTAAAATATTAAATCCCTATTTTATTTAAGGAACTTCTAACATTTGTAACTTCTCTTTTCTCGTCCCGATTCACAAATGGCCTTCGCCTATGTGCTCGTGGTATCAAGCTCAATTCAAAAACATTATGAGTGACACTCGAAGGTCTACGAATTTTAAAAAATTATTTTTCAAAAGTTCAAAGTTTGTACTTAATTAATTAAAATCTAAAATTAATTTAAATTCACGAAAATATTATAAAATACTGTGAGTACGAAATATGTAAATTACAATAATGAAATCCAAGAACGGGATTTCACAAAAAATGCCTTCTGCATGCGTGTGATGAAGGCTAGTATATAGAAAGGCTAGACGAAACACACGTCAAGTTGAAATTCTCTTCCTCTAAGCTTTCTCCAATTCACTTTCTCCAAGCTTTCATTTATCTATAGGAGTATCCTAGAGAGATTTGGGAGGGACTCACCCTCAATGGCCTAATCACATAAATAAAATAACAGATGAGATTGAGATAAGATAATCCAATCTAAAATTTTATCTTGTTTGATTTTAAAGAATGTACCAATCAGAGAAATAAATCAAGGATGAGATTGAGATAAGATAATACTATGCAATGATTGTTATAAATGAAATCTTATCTTGTCTGATTTCAAAGAAACAAACCAACATATGAGATTGAGATAAAAAAAAACCTAATTCAACGGTTCATAAGTGATGAAATCTAACTTTGTTAGAATTTGAAATTTTTTAAGTTGAAAAGTTCATAAAACAAATTTGAAATGACACATCTGAAAATCAATTTAAGAAAAGTTAAGGCAAAAATTAAATTTACCGTGCAGTCAATTAACTACACAAATAAATATATATATATTCCCACATAAAGCCCTAAAGGCATATATCTCCTCAGTTGGAGTGATTGTGTTTTGGAGTCTTAAAGATTCTTCGGAGTTTTAAAATGAGTTACATCTGTCATTTTTTTCTTACGAAATTTAAACCTAAAACATCTCACAACTTCATATATAGAGCCCCTCATTAAAATGGCTTTAAGAAAGGGAGAATTCTTCTTTTTTCAAGTAATACAACTGAAATAAAACAGAGAATCATATTCCTTACTAAATTAGTAGTGCAACATTTTAGATTCGAGGGCTTTCTAGTTCTTTTTAAGGTTTTTAGGCAAAATGATCTCTGAGATTTGCATAATTCCTCACTTTGGTCCCTGAGATTTGAAATAGATAGAATTGGTCCCTAAGTTTGTCCACAATCAACATCTTGGTCATTTTGTGAAAAATTTCCATAAATAAGGATAAAATGACAAAAATACCCTCAATTTTTGTCAAATTATTTTGGCCTATTATTTATTATATTGAGGGTAATTTTATCATTTTGATCCTTATTTAACACAATTTTTCATCAAATGATCAAAATAATTGATAATGGACAATATCAAGGAATGAGAATTCTCTTTGGATCATCTTTGTGAGGATCCTAGAGATCCTCAAATCGTGTCTATTCTTCGTATATCGTGCGATCATAAATTATTTTAAATATTTTTATTTAAAATTAAATATGAATAGTACTTGACGAAAACTAATGGCACGATATACGATGAAATAATACGATTTGAGGATAAGATCCTCACAAAGAGAATTCAGAGAAAATCCTCATTCAATTTCAATGATTACTTCTATTGATTTCAAATTTCAAAGATCAAATAATGAATTTGGCAAATCAACATTTTAGCTAAAAAAAACGCGTCCGTTTATATCATTGACGAAGCTGTGTCTTCTAGTCGTAAAGATCACCGGCCCACTTGTCATCCAACCTCCTCCCACTGCCACACGCACCACCATGAAGCCAATACTTCTCCTCCTCCTACTCTCCTCCCTCTCCTACTCCGTCGCCACCACAGCCTATCCTTCTATTCCGGGCACCACCTCCGTCGAATACGCCGCCGAAACCGACACCCTGATCCCTCCTCGCCGTGAAGTTTACGGCAATGGACGAATCTTCGACATCAGCCACCGGTACAGCACCACCATGCCTGCCTTTGAAACCAACGACGGTGTCGGCCAGTTCCTTTGGCTCCCCAACAGCATGAAGAACGGCTCCATCGCCAACAACTCTGAGATGAAGCTGCCCACTCACACTGGTACCCACGTCGATGCCCCGGGCCACGTCTTCGATCACTACTTCGATGCCGGCTTCGATGTCGATACCCTTGACTTGGATGTGCTTAATGGTAATTCAGTTATTGATTCTTCACTGTTTCTTTGATTTTAATCATTTAGGGTTTTGAGTGTTTAATGCGGTTGGGTGAGTGCATACCAACTGTTCGACGAAATTACCCGAGGTAATATATTTCTATGGGGATTTGGAGTTGTTTGGGGCAAGTGGGATATTAGCGGTTAGGTGCTTCAAAGTTGAAGATGAAATGTTAAGAGTGTGAATTCCGAGGAATTAAATGCTTGCGTAATAGTACTGTTCTAAAAATTTTCGTCTAGCGCTAGACGGTTGGTCATTGTTTTAATTAATCATTAGGTATTTGAAAATTAAGAAAATGTGTCTAGATTGTGATTCTTACTTAGACAGAAAATCAATAACTTTTATATTGCATTTTAATCTTTTTCAATAAAATGTAATACACATTATGTGCTTGTTTCTTATGTTTTCAATATGTTCTAATGTTTTATAATCTATATATTCATTTTATTTTGCACTTTATGTATCCTGTACAATTAGGTATTTATTAAAGTATAAATACGCATATATTTATACAATATATAACAAATTTACTTAAATTTGCCTAGTCCACTTAGTTGCTTAGGTGCTAGACTTTATCATACGGTCCCACTAACGCCTAGTGTCTTTTAGAATCTTATATAATAGTTTAAATGATCTTGGGCCTCTCTACTCAATGTCAATTGGTATTGGGTTACATCCTCACATTCTAATAGGAAAAGTGGCTTTCACCTTTTCCGGATTTCCTGTTTTGGGCATCTTGAGGTATTATCAAGCTTTCTTTTCATTTTTTTTTTTCAGAATTTGGGTTTTCTGTTCTGTATTCTGTTTGATGTTTTGCAATTTGTGCCTTTCATGTTGATTAGCATTTGACCCTGTTTTCACAATGTAACATAGCAATAGGGGAAAAAGCTCATTGCTTGTGTTGGTTGTATCACTGATATTTTTGTGATTATTATACGTCTTTGTGTCAAAAGGTCCTGCATTGCTAGTTGACGTTCCGAGGGAGAAGAACATAACCGGTATGTATTTTCCTTTCAAACTCCTATTTTCTATGAGGATGAAAGCAGAGCTTTATGACCTTATCCTTTGTTTCAATATGCATACAAAATGTAAATCATGTCTAGTGCCAAGTAGCAACTGAAAGGCCAGATAAGTAACCTTTTGGTTGCTAAACAAACACTACATAGAAACAATTGAACATAACATGCCATGTAGTCTATTTGCTTCTTTTTTTTTTTTTTTTTTAAGGTTTTTGACTGTCCTACATGCTTATTACAGCTGAGGTTATGAAGTCCTTACATATTCCCAAGGGGGTACATCGTGTGCTGTTCAGAACATTAAACACAGACAGGTACTATTGGCAATATGCGCCCACACACACACGTGCACCTGGGCATGTACCAGTTACGTTGTATTGTTGTAAAGCTTCTTTTCTTTTCGCTGTTGAAATTTTTAGATAGTTTATAATTTGATACATTGTTCCTTAGCTCCTAGTACTCATGACAATTCCCGCAAATAAAATGCCTTATTTGTTTTACTAGACCTTTCTTTGGAAAAAAAAAACAAGGGAAATTTATGCCTGAGGTGACCTTTCCTCTGTTTAATCATTCCTTCCAACCACCTTTTATTTGTCAATGGTTGGACTACTGATGTTTGTACTAATTCAATTTGATTCAGAAATCTTAAAATATTGCAGAATATTAACAAAAAATTCAATTCAAAGAAACATTATACTAACTAGAGCTTACTTCACTTTTAGACGGCTTATGTTCCAAAAGGAGTTTGACAGCAGCTATGTGGGATTTATGAGGGATGGAGCACAGTGGTTGGTGGAGAACACTGACATTAAACTTGTCGGTGAGATATATATTCCTCTATTCACACATCCGTTCTTATTTTATGACACATAGTTTTTTAACAGTCTGCATACATAATTACGGTAATATAATCTTATACTGAGTTCTTCTCAGTGAGATATTACTGATTATACTACTGTTCATGTGATCATTTCTGTTCTTTCTATTGAAGCTGACTTGTTGGTCTTTTGTTATAGGAATTGATTACTTATCCGTTGCTGCATATGATGATTTGATTCCATCCCACCTTGTTTTTCTAGAAGGCAGGGTAAGAAATCGTTATTTGATAAGACATGAAAGGGTTTTTTCTTTAGTTCATGATCATTTTAGTTGGATGCGTTCCATTTGGTACTTGGTAGATTGTTGAACAGTGGTAAATGCAGCACCAAAAAAACGAGGCAACCGAGTTGTCTCACATGGTTCTCTGATTTAACCAGAAATTCTGTTTCAAGACTCAGACACTAACACTGCTTTCATGTTCCAGGAAATCATTCTTGTTGAAGCCTTAAAACTGGATGACGTCGAACCAGGAATATATTCTGTCCACTGCTTACCTTTGAGGTTGCCGGGTGCAGAAGGGTCACCGATAAGATGCATTCTTATCAAGTGATGCATCTCGGTTACGCTTTTATCTTTGTAAGTTGTGCATCGATGTTTGGTTTTGATGCGAGCGTACATCAGCTCACGGTTAATCCTTTTATTAGTTTGAGTGTTTCAGCCTACGTTTGGGTTTTTACCTACTCCTATTTGCTGCAGGAAATGATGATCCCCCAAGGAGAAACAGCATGGAATAAGACGCTGAGACCCAAGTTTCAGGACAGCAGGGTTCTGAATATGAATGTCCTCTGGAATGTTTATGTTGATAGTTTTTGTGAAACTCAAATGTAATGTCATTGCCGTATTCTCACTGTATAATTTGGTGGTTTAATCTCTCTTTATAACATGAAGTTTTTACGGGTTGTTGATAAAAAGTTTTGTTTATATTAATATTTCCTTGAAAGAATTAATTAAATTACATTGCATTATTTAAAAAGAATTTATTAATTTTTCAATCAAATAAAAAACATTATTCAAGAGGGTTTGAAGAGTTTTAAAAATCTAAACGACAATGTAACCATCATCTAAGCGTGGAGGATGCAATCATGAGCGTCTATTATTCTTTCACATTTTTCACATTTGTACATTAATTATTATACTTTTTTAATGTGTTTGGTATTTTTAAATTACTATGATATTTTTTATCTTCTAATGTGTTTTATGGTTTAATCTTTACTTTTAAGATAATAAAACCTTTGTGAGTATGATTGTATGAGAGAGTGTAAAAAACTTTGTTAGGTGTTGACTCTACTAATATTATACTAGTTGATTTGAATTTTGGACGACAAATCAATTAAAATTTATTCTGGTAATGATAATAAGAAACTCTCATAATAAAAATAAATAAAACTTAATTTTTCTTTATAAAGAATAATAATACAATAATATTGTTATAAACTTTCTAGTTTAAGTGTGATTGTGTAAATCCTACATTAGATTTGATTCTTGTTATTTTTTCCTATATGGACTTGTATTCCTTGGGGATAAATGATTTATTCTCTCCCTTATTATTATAAATAAAGGTACTACGTAGGGAGAATAACACATCCTCTACATATTCTTCTACACATGAGCATCCGTTAACCCGAAGTTTAGGTTCGATTCAAGGAATCGCATGTCAAACTTGTTCTATGGGAAAGCTTATTATTAAGCCTTCTTATGACAAGATTCGTTCGAATCTTCCTATTTTCTACAAAGGATTCAGGGGGACATTTGTGGACCGATTCACCCTCCATGCTGACCATTTAGATATTTTATAGTTTTGGTTGACGTTTTCACACGTTGGTCACACGTGTGCTTGTTGTCCACAAGGAACGCTGCATTCTCCAAATTGTTAGCTCAGGTTATCAAGCTCAGGGCTCACCACCCTGATTATCCGATTAAATATATTTGATTGGATAATGTTAGAGAATTCACATCTAAAACTTTTGATGACTATTGCATGTCAATTGGGGTTGAAGTTGAACATCCTGTACATGTTCCACCTAGAACGGCCTGGCAGCGGCATTCATCTGCACGTTTTTGGTTATGTGGTCTATGTTTTGATTTCACTGCCCTTACATATAAAAATGAGGCCTTAGTAAAAGATGAGAATCTATGTCGGATATGAGTCTCCTTCAATTATTCGTTACTTAGAACCTTTGACAGGAGATCTGTTTACCGCTCGTTTCGCGGATTGTCACTTCTATGAGACAGTCCTCTCGTCGTTAGGGGAGATAAGAACGTCAATGTTCCTGAAGAACGACACATATTATTGTGGACTACTCCCACTTTGTCTCATTTAGATACTGCTCAGTCTGAAATTGAAGTGCATCGTATATTAGATCTCCAAAGCATAGCTCAGAGCATGCTAGATGCTTTCATCGATCTAGCGTGAGTGACAAGATCACGTAATCCAGACAACTTTGGTGATCCACGTAAATTAGTTGCTAGCCAATCATTTGCCCCTACACATAATTATGGCAAACCTCTTGGTTTAAAGGATTCACACCCTTGGAAGAGAAAACCCATGGCACAGGCCCCTGAAGAGCCTACCATAAATCTGACTGCTGCTTACTCATTCTATCCAACTCATGAGAAAATTCTAGATTACAGAAGCGTCCTTGAAGAAATGAATCCACCTCCCGAGAATCGTGAGATTTCGATCTATTATGCTAGCTTAGATGGTGTGTGGTATAGAAATGAGATGATCGTCGACGATGCATTAGCATATGTAGTAGCTACTGAAATCATGTTGAGCGATGACATTGAACCCCGTTCCGTTGATGAATGTCGACGTAGAACCGATTGGTCAAACTGGAAACAAGCAATCCAAGTCGAACTTGATCCCCTTATGAAACATAAGGTGTTTGGACATGTAGTTCCTACTCTTCCATATGCAAAGCCTATTGGTTACAAATGGGTTTCGTTCGGAAGAGTAATGAGAAGAATGAAATTATGCAACACAACGCTCGTCTTATTACTCAAGGCTTCTCATAACGCCCCGGGATTGACTATGACGAAACTTATTCACCCATTATGGATGTGATTACTTTTCGCTACCTTATCAGTTTAGTAGTTTCCAAAAAAATGAGTATGCAGCTGATGGACGTAGTAACTCCGTATCTCTACGGGGATCTTGATACATAAATTTATACGAAAGTTCCTAAAAGACTTACATTGACTAGATCAAATATTTCCAAATCTAGGAACATGCTCTCAATTTGGCTGAGGCATTCACTCTATTGTTTGAAGCAATTCGGAAGAATGTGGTATAACCGTCTGAGTGAGTATTTGACTAGTCAGGGATATGTGAACAACAAACTATGCCCTTGTGTGTTCATTAAGAAGTTACATTCTGATTTTGTGATAGTTGCAGTATATGTCGATGACATGAACCTCATCGGAACTTCTAAAAAGCTCACGAGAACTACCGCGCACCTGAAGTCGAAATTTGAGATGACAGATATAGGAAAAACTCGATAATGTCTTGGTCTCGAGATAGAGCACCGTTCGGATGGAATCTTAGTACATCAAACGAACTACACCCAGAAGGTGTTGCGCCACTTTGATGAAGATAAATCAAAGCCTTCGAGTACTCCAATGGTCATTCAATCACTAGATACCAAACGAGATCCCTTCCGTCCGAATGAGGATGATGAAGAGATTTTGGAGCCTGAAGTTCCTTATCTAAGTGCGATAGGTGCTTTTTAATTTGCACAAGGCGTGTTATCAAACACATTATGTCTTTACCGTTGGAGGCACCACAATTTCTTGGAGGTCAACTAAACAAACCTTAGTTGCCACTTCGTCTAACCATGATGAAATTCTCACCTTGCATGAAGCAACTCGGGAATGCTTTTGGTTGAGAGCAATTGTGGGCCATATTCGGAGCTTCTGTGATCTTTACCCCGTCGTTGATGTCCCGATGACTATCTATGAAGACAACGCAACATGCATCGCTCAAGAAAAGTTACATCAAAGGAGACAACACCAAGCACATTGCGCCGAAATTCTTCTTCTCAGATCAACAACAAGAGCATTAGAAGATTGAAGTCATGCAAATCCGTTCACAAGAAAATTTGGTCGACCTCTTCACCAAATCATTACTGAATGCAATGTTTTAGAAGCTTGTTCAAGGACTTGGTATGCGTAAACTTTTTGAGTTGTAACATTGCTAGTTCTCTTTGGAATTGTGTCAAACTCAGGGGGAATATCCTGAAGTGTACATGCTTGTTCTTAATGTATTCTATTTCCCTACGATTGGGAGCATTTTTCCCACTAGGTTTTTGCTACCTAACTAGGTTTTAATGAGGCACCCACCTTGGGTTGATCATATCCCTGATGACATCATGTATACGTTTCATTTGACTTTGCATTTCTCATGCATTTTTCCTTAGACTATGGGCTTTGTCCTTACTTGGGTTTTTACCATAGCCATAGGGTGTTTTAGTGAGACTTACTTCCTTATGCAAGTTCCTACCTTATTGAGAATAACGTGTTCCCATAATCAGTGTCGACGAGTCGACTTCTTCAAACTCTAATGATGCCGAATCTACTTGAGTATTTACACACTCAAGGGGAAGTGTAATAAACTTTCTAGTTTAAGTGTGATTGTGTATACACATCCTCTACATATTCTTATACACAACCCTACAAACACATCTCTCTCTCTGCGGCCAGCCCCCTTCCCTTGTCAGATAAAATAGGTTACAACATTAAATATTTAATATACAACATATACACTATAGCTATTGTATTGTATAATAATTTTTTAAGTAGTTTAACTTTAAAATCATCAAAATAATATTTTTCTTAACGGGTCAAAACGGGTTATCCACGTGTAAATTCGTTAAGGATATGTTATTATGGTTCTTAACGGGTAACCCGATAACGATCCAATTAGTTATCGTGTTAACCAAAAACTCGTTATTTTTGTATCGTGTTAACGGATCGAAATTGTCAGGTCTAGATAAGATGGACAAATTATATGAGACTCTGTCGTGCAACAATTGCTAATTTGATAAGGATGGCTTGAATATTGGGATGATTAGCACAGATGGGGACTCTTGGCAAAAGGATAGAGATTGGAATTACACTGCATATGGGATAAGACTTTAGAGAACCAAGTCCAGAAAGATTGTTCTGTGCGAATATGCTGATCCTTGTGGATTATTTATCCAAAAAAGGTGGTTATGTAGATCATGCAATTGCATGGCACGGATTGGTGAGGAATGGATTAGTATGCAAATATTTGCACTTTTAGTTTAGACTAACAACAGTGAATTGATTGGTTGATTATCTATCCACGTCTAGATGGACGAAGAATTCTCCATTCTTTCGTCTCAAGAGGTTATCTCATCAATATCGACGAAATGAAGTGTTTCCAGGGACAAATTGTTCGGCACAACGAAAGCTAAACTAATTATTGAACTTTGCAGTGATCTAGTAACTTTGCCTTTAGGTTCTAGAACCCAAGGCCGAGACATGTTCCTTCTTAGCTATAAACGCTTTGGTGCAGAAGTCAACAACATATTCAACACCACCATCACCGCCTCTATTCTACTCACCCGACCGAGCTCGATTGCGAGTTGGCACCCCCGCATTCATAAGAAGAATGTAATTAGCTCATATTGGAAAATGCCAAGGAGACCAGCCATCAATCGGTACATTATGTGTTGGAAATTATATATTATAATGTGAAATATTGTAATATATAATTTTAATAATTGAATGAAAAAGAGTGTTAACCGTATTTTTTAGAAAGGTTATGTTATTTAGGTGCATTCCCTTACTAAATGATGTAAACTTATAGATGATAAGTTACATCTCTTTAATAAGTAGTAATTGGGTTCTATATAAACCCGTGAAACCATTTGGTATCATATGATAGAAAATTAGAGTTGATTTTTACTCTTGAGAAATAGGGTTT